GAATCAATAGTTTTTAAACTTACATATAGTAGCTTTGTACTAATTTTATCTTGTTTTTGAACAGAAAGTCCTTGATTATCAATGATGATCTCATCGAATTGCACTGGTCAAAAGCTTCGAAAGATGTCAGACGTATTTGGATTGATGAGGATAACTTAAAGGTTGATCATACCTTTTTGTCGTTAAAAATTACATGTATGGAGTAGTCGTAACAGCACTGATAAATGATGCGGTATAGGAGAGGATACAGCATCAAATTTCACACAATTTTCGAGAGATGCTATTTCATTTTTTCTTTTTTGCATTAATTAACAGAGTTTTTCTTTTTGATTATACTTCCAAATTTCCAACGAAGTTAGAGCTTCATTTTTTCTTTTCCTCTTTTTGAAAAAATAATAGTGAGGGCATAATTCTTTCTGACTAATATTTTGCTCATTAACTTTTTACTTTGTCACCTGTCACTTCAGTGGGAACCGAAGCAGTATGCATCAAGCGATTTCACCGGTGATGACTGTAATGAAAGCTAGAATATCGAGTATAAATAAGCTAAGTGTTCTGTCAATAATTGGTCCAAAGATTTTCGCTGACAAATTTTATCGGGAACTGTTGGTTTTTTGGTAATGGAAAGGAGGTCTCAAGAAAATATTAGTGAAGGATCTCGAATTTGGGGAAGTATAACTATGATTCGTAAAAACTTTGTTGATAGATCGATATAGATCTTATTATTTTCACTTTATTAGATTTATTTTACTGGTAGTTATGTAGCCACATACGCATTTTTATCTCCCTATCTTTCTTTACACAGTGCAATTCTGTCAATCCACGAATTGAGTATCAATTTTATTTTGGTATCATAATATATATGGATCTACCAGTTGCATCATAATTGAAATTTTTTTTAGTGAATTTTGTGCTCTATCTTCAGCGATTGCAGGAAAAATTTCTGAAATCATTTTTTCAAAAAGTTCCACGGGTACCTTTATATTTTATAATTCATTGCTTTCCATTTGCGAACAAATGATCTTTTTGATTTGGCCTTAATATGATTTTCACCTGTCTAATATATAGTTTTTATGAGCTTTTTCTAAGTGTACAAATTTTTATTATTTGTTCTTTTTACCTCAATCTATCCAATCTTCAAATGTTACTAAACGTAATCACGGAAGAGATTAACTTCACAACACAAGTTGTTGTGAAGGTTAGTCAACGTTTGTGCTAGAAAAAGAGAAACATAGTGATGAATCTTGGTATGTTGATTTATTTTAAGTTATAAATAAAAAGAGAAAACAGAGCTACTTTCTGTAAATTGATAAATAGTGCCGTGGGAATTTTAAAACGGTCTGATCTATTTTTTTGTGCTTCTGTTAGCGGGGACGAATATGATAATTTAAAGAGATTTTTTATAACAGATTTTTAAAAAAAGCGGGTTTTTGGGTTTATGGAATTGATTTGTTTTTAGGTTGTTTAAAATTGAAGGGTCTTTTATTTTTAATGCCATTCTGAATGTATATATTTGTTCACTTGTTTAGCCACTAATAATCTTTTCTTATGAATTTGAGAATGAACTGCTCATCTTTATTTAGTACTTTCACTGCTGCATGTATTTCAGATTGTACAATATGAATTTTATTTTGATTTGTTTCAGTGATTACATTTATCGGTGTTTACACTCATCCATTATTCTTTCTCTTTTGCTCATATAATGACAATTTAAAATTTGGTTTATATTGTATTTGCGCGTTTGACAGTAAACTGAAAACAGCATTATACAAAGTCGAGAAGGAAATGCCAGAAAATCACTTTTGTAGTGAGTAAATCTTATAATAAAGATTTAGTGTCACAAAGGGACATCATGGGCTTTGAGTGCATTTCTGGTACGAAAAAACGAAGCTAAGATTCCAAGCAAACGAACCAAATTGTGCCTGTAAGAGTAGCGTGAATGTTTTATGATTGCCAAGTTTAAATGGTTAAGAATAATATGAGTTGTGTTAACTGACTGCTACTTCCTATGTTCTTTATCTGAAGTTGCTGAACAATCAATTGAGTACCTGAAGATTGACACTCTGAAAGTTTGATTTGAATCAAGATTATTTTGTGAATGTACCGTAGGCATCGGTGGTTCAGTGGTAGAATGCTCGCCTGCCACGCGGGCGGCCCGGGTTCGATTCCCGGCCGATGCATATTTTGCTCTACTCTTGCTTACTTTCGAGGTTTAATATGTTGAATTCCTAAGTGCATTATGCTTGCTAATTATTAATTCGGATACAGGTAGCCATTCCAGGTTTATCCTTGTTTTTCAGCACTAATTTATAAATTTTAAAAACGCTAAATTCGAAATTCTATTTGCTTTACCTTTTATTACAAACGTGTTTTGCTCAACTATGCATGCATTCTATAAGATGCAGAAATAACTGATGCCAAATCCTAGTTGCCAGCATTAATAAATACGTAACTTACGAATTATGAGTACTAGCGACTGATTGATTCAAAGATTATCAGAATTTGTAATACATTGAATTTTTGCTATGTATACGTGCAAAATTTCTTCTATTGAATAAATATGCAGTTATTACTATTAATTGAATTCGTTGCATTCTAAAATTATGAACTTGAGCGTAAAAATGGTAGAATTTATATTCAGAGTAGATCAGATTGATGAAATGATTACAATGGAAGTGTTTAATTTTTATTGCAAACGAATTTCTTTGCGAATCTTACAAGTACGTCTTGCAACAACAATAACACTTTCATCTGAAAATGGTATTTTAAGAAGGAAAATTTCAAGGTTACATAACGGTTTCATGACTAAAACCCTTATTTTTAGTGCATTGTTGTGCATGCACTTAACTGCACTGCACTCACTTGTTTTAAAAACTTGAAAATCAGAGCGTAGAATGCATAAATTACAGAAGATGAAAATACAAACAAGATTTCTTTTTTTGGTATATTAAAATAAAGTCTTAGCATAAGCACAGTTTTTCAGAGTTTTGGTTTATGTCAATTTATTCCTTTGCTGCATACATTTAATTCAAATAGTTCATTATGTGTGCTTAGTAAGAAGAATAATCCTTACGAATATTTGGATACAAATTGATAATAAATGAAAATCAAAGTGATCAGTAAAAGTAGAAACTAGCTAAAGTAATCAAATTTTCCAATAATCTGCTTAATCAAATATTCAGAGTAACACTTATAATTCATATATTCTCATTATCATTCCCTTTTATCAAAATAATTACCAAATTATATGTGGATATTAGGTTAGGTCATAGGTTACTTACTTAAATAAAACGCAATTTATTTCAAGTTAAGGTGAACAAATCAAGATACTCTCGAATCATATGTCTTTATATAGCTTATTTGCATGCAAAAATCCTTCACTAATTTTACATCATTATTTCCTCTCCCTTGTTTTTAGATTAATAGTAAGAAGAAAGTAAATATGTACGTGTGCCTCTGTAAATATGTAAATTCAACACATTTATGCATACATTAGTATTTGTCAGTTAAGAAATGAATTTGTAAATAAATCATTTTAATTAATGAGAAAAACTTTTATTGCTTTGAATTAAATACCACACATTTGAGCGATACTTTCATTCGTATATACAATATACATGTGGATGCAGGCTCACATCATGGCTTAACATAAATATAAATAAATATATGCAAGCGAGTATTGCAAATTGTAGCTGATCTTAATCATGGCCGTATCTGAAATGTTTCAAATTTGATTGATGATATCATTGTTGTTGATAGTGCACTGCATGCAATCTAAATTATGCATCAAACTTACTTTCAATCTATTTCAGAGAACAACATATTTGCACAAAAATATTTTAATGTCATAAATAAAATACAAATTAATAAAAAGTTAATTTTCATGAAATAATTAGTTAGATTAATTCAATTCAAAAATATATGGCGACAATTTTTCCATTTGAATTGATGAAAATTACTGACAATAATAAAACTGAAATAATGTTTGAAAATGCTGATTGATTTTGCTAAAATGTGAATATTATAAATAACAAGTTTATGTACAGAACATTTCGTACTAATAAGGATTTGAAATTGTATGTTAAGAATTTTATTTCACAAAGATATTTTTTAGAATTTCAGACTGATCTAGATTTCAAATTTATGAACTGCAATTTTATTTTAAACACTTTGAGTTTTTTAATAATTTATTGTTGCTAAATGTAAATATTTCAAGAGATTTTCGAGCCTTACATTACTTTTATACGTGAAAGTAACTTCTTTTATTAGAATATTTACAACCAATTTTAGATTAGCATAATTTCTTTTTCTAGCTTATTTACGTTTTAATTAAACACTTTGGCGAGTACTATTCATTTTACTATTATGCACAATTTATTAATAAAAATAATAATAAATTTTTATTAATGCAATTTTACTGCGCAATCATTACACTTTGTTTTTCATTATTATAAACCATTTCTGTGCATTAATGAAAATACCGTACGAATATAATCAGAAGAAAATTCTGATATACTATGAATAAATGCAAATTACGAGAAATATGAAGCAATTTTTAATCATAAAATGATGTGTAATTGACGTGTCATTCCTTTTCTTATATAATTTTAAACAACGAAAGATGAAATTTGCATTTTTTCAAAAATTTCATACCAAAAAAAGAGAGAGAATAAAAAGTGAACCTTCACATCACATTCATCACGCCTGCAAGTAGGAGCAGCATATGGTTGCTTTACTTCCTTCGCTCTCATCCCTCTGCCCTCTCCCTCGTCCGTCTTAGACGTAATGTAATCATTTTTCTGTTTTCAAATTATCAGAAAAATTTTTCATAATATAAACTCAGACATTTACGCACTCATCCAAAGCAATGCACACAAAATAATAATTGTAAAACAGTGAAATCAACTTGGATGGAAGAAAAAAAGAATTTATTATTATTATTATTATTATTAAGAAAGAAAATACAACAGTGACTTTTTCAACTATAAGAATTATTTATTCTAAAAATTAATATTAACTTTGAAAGAAATTCAAAAAGTACCTCAGTTCACTATTGTTTATTTCATACTTGTTTGTACAAATAGAAAAAAAGAAAGTCGGTGAATATATAGGAAAGTTTTTGATCTAAAGAGAAAAAAAAATTAGGTGACCTAGCAGATGAAATGAAGTACTCACTGATTTGATCTAATCCAACCATGTCATTAAC